TACGGCCCCATGTTAGAATTCCTTGTTTAATGGGTACCAAAGATTGACATCCACACGTTTATATATATATACATATGTGAGAATCGAACCCATGATCCTCGACTAATAACTGCACCACCAAGTCAGTCAGTCTGATTTCAGGCTTATTATTTTAATTTAATTATTATCTCTTCATCGTCCTTGACCACGATAATTATAAATGTAACACCATTACATCGATCGACTTGCGAAAACCGAAGAAAAAAAAAATGCAGTTGTGAATTTAAACAGTACGTTTTAGCGTATTTACTTAGTTTAGCTTCTTGCTCACATGGTTGTGTTTTTCTGTTTTAATTTAGGTAAAAAAAATAATCGCTCCGCTACCTTCGCCCATAAGTGAAAATACCCAATTTATCAATTATTAAAGTATATTATGTAGTATATACATATAGTATAAATGTAACTACAGGAACTTTTCTAATAAAAATGTTTTAATTTAAATAAAACCAGCAAGGCGTTTTAGCTAAAATATATCATTTCGAATTTTTTTTTTAACATTTAGTAGTATGTTTTGAAACTGTTCTTAAATTTATTAATAAAGATATCACATTTTCCCGCTAAATTAACAAAATCTTACTAAGCCTGTGTACCAAATAGTGTTTTAAAATGTATTGTATACGATCGAGGTATCTAACAATATATATTTTTTAGAAATGAACAATTAAGAACTTATATTGTTTTTGTATTAAATTTCACAATTTGTTTGATTTATATATTGATTTAAGCAGCTTTAAGTATTTTCAACAAAAAACTTGTATAACTTGTTCCTAAAGAAATAAATATTAAATCAACATTCTACCTGAATACTAAAATGAATAATTTTATATTTATGACTGACTGCTTTTGGCATGTGTGTTACGTTTAAAAATGGTTGTGAATTGTGAATATAAGCATAGAATGGCCAAGATCTAACTCTTGTAATTTAATCAGGAATAATCCACACATCGTAATAGAGGTTTTGGCTAATTTTAAATTTACTATGCAAAGATACAATAGTTTATCATAACAAAACCTTCATTTGGTTTAATAGTGACCAATTTTAAATCTAATTAAAACTATAAAAACGATAATATAATTTATTATGCTAATAACCATTCATCATCATCATCATCATCTTAGGCCTTACAGCCCAGGGTGGGCCTTAGCCTGGTCATGTCTCTCCAGACTGCTCTGTTCAGGGCTTTCTCCTTCCAGTTCTTGACGCCGATATTTTTGAGGTCGCGCTCCACGCCATCCAACCATCGGAGTTTGGGTCTGCCACGACTTCTGCGGCCCTCTGGTTTGCCATAGAGCAATTGTCTCGGCATTCTGGTACTCTCCATTCGAACCACATGTCCTGCCCATCGTAGGCGTCCAATCTTTATAGTTGTTATGATGTTAGGATCTTTGTAAACATCATACAACTCGTGGTTACAGCGCGTCCTCCATATCTCTAATAACCATTGGCGGCCTGTAAACATTACTTGGAGATGCTTTCGATCAATCAAATAATGTGCTATCAGCGGTATGATACAAAAAATAATAGCCAACAAACAAAATACATATTCCTGCAAATGCTATATATTTATTTACATACTTGTGTACATGTATCTCCCTTTTAAAGTTTAGTATGATCATCTACATTTTTTATAACGATTAAGAATATAATAATGTTGATGTTAGTAGTAGAAAAAAATAATGTAATATTAATATAAAATGGTTTTTATGGAACATTAAGATTTAAATTAAAAACTATTTTAGTTTTCAGTTTTATAAGATCGTATATTCATACTGTATTTTATTTTAATATTAGATATTTCCAATTATATATCATTTTGTAAACTCGGTGTTGTACTTATTAAATAACTTTAAATATTAAATTCATTTATAACATTTCTTGCGTATTACCAAAACTGATGTTTATATTTAAAAATAAAAACGTTACCAAAACCGAACACCCCTTACGGAAATAAAATGAACAATGGTAATCTAGTTTCTGTTACGTAAAAATAAGTTATCACTGTCAACATATGAAAAGAAGATAGTTTATGATAAGTTTGTGTGATTTAGTTAATATTCATAAACGCCAATGTAACTAACAATTTTAATTATTGTTATAACGGTTCCGTAGTTTTACAATTAAGCTATTTAGAATTTAAGCTGTTTCACCTCTTTATAATAATATCTCCACTTACAGGAATTTTTCGGAACACTTTTATAGTTCGAGGGAATTACAATCTCATTTGTGTCGAATACGTTATTATTGTAATAAAAACCTGCCGACGACCTTGATTTAATAAATAAAAGTTTTCTTTTCTCTAACGGCTTAGTTTTTTTTTTTACCTTATCCCCTTTTTCTTGTTAATTTCATCAGTCATATTATATAATCCTGCATCAGCAGTTTGCAAATATCTAACGAAAAGTTAAATTCATTTTGAAGAAAAACTTGATAGATTATACTAATTATACAAACGTACAGGGTGTTGAATTTTCGTATTCTTTGACCTTAAAATACAGGTCCCTAAAATACACTCTAAAACCAGTAAGTACTCTGGAGTTTTAATCTTGCAAAAAATCTTTAAAAAGCGTTTTGTCGGGTTTTGTAGATTATAGTTGAAACGATACTTCTTTATAGCGACTGTTATAAGACCAACATGAAGAAAATTGGTATTCAAAGACTGAAAACCGCCGGATGTCGTTTGACATAGGACAGTTTACAAAAATTGCTTCCATTTAATGCATAAAGTCATAATTATCTCAATCGTTACGTCAGCTGAATTTTTTTGATGCTAAGTCATTAAACTTCGAAGCAAAACGATAGCGCGATTCACAAAATAGTTTCAGCGACATCTGTTGGCGACAAGTTCTACGAGTAACGCGCAAGCGTGCGAAGTGCTCCTGCTGTTTTGGGATAACTAACTCATTTTTGTATAGTACATCATCGATATGAAACGAAATAGACGCTGTGGTGGTGTTCCATTCTCTGGCAATCGCGAAGTAGTTACCAATGAGCTCTTAGGCTTCCTATGAGGCCACGAGAATAACAATCCTTTCATAAAAAGATTTTAATGGTATTTAGGTTTCAGAAAAAATGCATGTATAATTTCAAATCAATATATGTAAATTAAGGTTAATTTTTTTTTTATCAAATTGTATATGGTGAATTGCTAATATTGGAACCTATACTAAGCATGAGGCATAAAATAACTATATGCATAAATGAACTTACCTATGTAGGCATAAAATAATTAAAGCTAACTATACAGTAATCCCCCTTGTAATACGGTAGATTAGATAAAGGGAGCGTATTGTAGGAGCATCCCCGCATAACGCGCTTGTGACCCATATAACGCGTTATGTACAAATATAATATATATACAAATATAATACAATATAACCAATATTTTTACAATTCAAAAACTAGGAACACAAATGTAATAAATTACTTTAATTTAATTTTATAACAACTTAATTGACACTGTGCAAAGGTACGCGAAATTAAATTAAGAACTGTACAAATCATCATTTACTTCACAATACAGCAATGTATACCTATACATGTTTAGGTATTACAGTATAGTATAATTATATAGTACAGATATAGTTGAAATGCCCGCATTATATGGGGGAATAACCGTTATACCAGGGACTGAAATAACGTAATATGAAAATTCGTTATAAGAGTACCGTGTTTTATGGAGAATTACTGTATGTATCCTAAAATTACATTTATAAAATTGATTGTTCACACGTCGTAACGACATACTGTTTAAGTGTAATGGGTTTTTATATACTTTAATGAAAAAAATAAATGAAATTATGTACATACCTAATTGATGCATTTGAAACTTTTAAAGTTACCGCTTAAACGTTAATGAAGGTTGTCACTCGTTAGTTGATTCTCCAACTTGATACTTTATGAAAATCAGTAGTGATGCAGCAGCGAGATCGAATGAATCGAATAAAAATTTACAGTAGTGTGCAGATTACACGCAGTTGCAGTGGAACCTTTCGAAGTATTTAATCTCATTTTTTCATATTCTAAACTATATAGATATATGTTAAAAAATTCAATGACTATTATTTTTAACAAATATAGTTGACGTAAGCGCACTGAAAATTTATAGTTTGATGCTACTTTTGTTTAATACAGAGATTAGATTTGTCTATGGAGCTTTTTCTAAAAAACGAATTAGTGCAGATTGTGTTATAGCTTTCTACTCAAGTATTACTTATTGTTTATTGCAGAAATTTATATGACTTGATTATTTAATGATTTGGTCTGGCGGTACCAATCTAAACTTATAAATTCTACTCATGGTTTTGCTTTTTCATCATACACTTAAAGTTATAAATTTGATATTATTTCTCCTGAATCACTTTTTAGAATGTAAAAAATGTAAATAATATAAATATAATAAATAATGTTCTCTTTCTCTCGTTCTTTAATACATAATATACTCGTTCTCTCTCTCTTCGAGAAAAGACCTTTCTCCCCTTTTTTAGTATGGCAATTGGTTTCGTGCGATTCTATCGATGCTAGTGTCGAGCTTATAAATATTTTAAATTATTATTTAAATGATAAAAATACAAAAATTGAATGTAATTAAATGTTGATTTGAAATGAGGTCACGTCCAAGTAAAATGGTAGGAATTTATTGAGACTTAGGTGGGTCACGTCCAGCAACTTTGTTTCATTTTCCCACTCTTGTGCACTTTCTCAGATGATAACCAAACGTCATAATAACAATATAGACTGTCCAGAATGTTTTTTTTAAAAAGGCTAAAGAAACTAAGCGTCGACTATACGTTGCTAAAGAATCACGACGTTTTTTGATGATTTCGTAAGTGAACAAAATATTTGTTTTTTTTTTACCTTTACAAATTATTTGTAAACTCTATTGATAATTTCAATTGAAATTTCGTGTATAACTTTACTTTTTGAAATCGATTTATACAATCGATATAACAGGATTCAATCTCAGACGTCGCGGTGCTCTATTCTGCTCAACAGTTCTTCGTAGAGAAAAGAAGCAATGGTCGGTTGCGTCGCACGGGGAGTGTTTATAAAATTTTAGTTTCATATCAGGTTAGTATGGTTTTTGTTTTATCAATGTAAAGATAATTGCGTATTGAAGCACGATAAGTGTTTTGTTTCGTGACGTAATAAGTGTTCAACATTCATGAGCGCGGTAACAATAGACATCGCCGTGTTCTAATTCGCGTACGAGTTGAATTTCAGTGTTGAAATTATTTTATTTGTTGTTACAAAATTCTGTGTCGAAAAATATTTGGTTCCTTTAAATGTTATTATCTTTCTAAATTGCCATGAGAACGTGAAACGAGCTAAAAGTTTTGTTTTTTCTAAAATTATCGTGGGTACATTCACCTATCTCCGTCCGTACCACTTTCTGTTGTTATTAGCGCACTGAATATAAATTTATCTGTGTAGTTGAATAAAATTCGGCTTCGGTGTTGCTGTGAAGAGACTAAAGTTCAAGTCCCATTCCCGCTTCGAGGAGGTAAAAGGAAAATAATCCATCAATCGCATGGTGAGTACGTTCCGCCTGAAAGAAATCTAACAATAATATTGACTTTGGTGATAATAATAACAATTTTGAAACCAAGGATAACAAAAGGCCTTAATCGAACAATATCTATTTAGCATAATATTATGTTATATTTTAAGTACTTTGAGGACCTAAAAGCACAAGTCTCTTCCATAACATGTTAATATCAAAAGTATGAAACAAATACAAATTATGTGAAAATATAATCATTTGGCAACTATTATTATTAAATAATTATCTAAATGTAAAATAGAAAAAAAAATGATATTAGGATATAGAGTATGTCTTGAATATGGTTATTGCAATTGAGAAGATTATACTATTCAATTGTTAATCACAAAAATATTTGAAAATGTTATCTATAAAATTTATCAGTACAGGTCTACTTGGAACTCATTAAATGTTTTTTTTTTTGTTTTTGCAGAAGTTTATTAATTTTGTGTGCACAAGTCGTGTATATGCAATAAGTTTTAAAAATCTTATCAAATATATACTTTAGTTTGTAGAAAAAAAACGCTATTAGAATTGATGCTCTCATAGGCTTAATAAGACAGAGTATATTAAATATTATTTAAAAAAAGGTGTTATTGAAAACCTTGAACCAGAATTAACCTATTTCATTGTTGAAAATCACACATCTTGCTAACTAACGAATGGATATGCTAGGTTTTCCTCGGGTAACTCATTGTTTTGCTATTTAACGAACAATGTTTGGACCATACTTATTATCAAAAATATACCATAAATTACTTATATGTAATTACAATGGTCTTACTAATACAATATTGAAGAGCATAAGCACATTACACCATTGATTCCAATGCCTGTTCAACATAGGTGAAAGCTTGCCCATATATCAAGTGACTCACAATTTGAGTATATATTTTAGCTCATGAACACATTGGATGTAACCCAATGAGTTTGTTGAGAGTATTCATCACAGTTAGATGTTTAATATAATTTATTTTGGCCATGATCATTTAAAATTCTTTGATATTGTTGGAAAGCTTTGAACACGAAGTTATGGTTTTTGTTAGAGGTAGGATCAAGTTATCTAAATGTTCTTGGTTCACAAACTTGTAATATCTACAGGCTCTGGTAGCAATGCGATAACCATACCATGGTGGTCAGCGTGTCAAATATAGTATATACCAGCACTAAAGCTGTCGCATTAGTGGAAGTACTGTGATTTTTTTATTACTGATCTTTTTATTACGGCTCATCTCATGGTAAATAATTACCATCGCTACTGCTAACACAAAAAAAGTACAGGTAAATTATATATATATATTTTTTTTTGTTTTCACTAAATTTATCTCTAACATAATATCATTTGTAATAATACTCGTACATAATTGTAAATGTTTAATTTAGACATTCTGTTTCAATTTGACAGCCTGATTAGTTTATTTCGGTTTAACAGGTTTATTGATAATTCCTTAACGATTTATAAATCACAATGATAGAAATTTATTCAATAGATTCATTTAAAGTAAAAATAAATTTGAATTAAGAATTTACAAATACCACAAAATAATTTGCAAACATAGAATAATTAAAAATGTTTCATCATACACACAGTACTCCTATTACAATTAGACATGTTGATTGTTTTTTGATGATTGCTAAAGTTGACCTCAATAAAATAAACCAATCGAATCAATTCATTCTAATACTATTTATTATTGCCCAATGTTATGGTCTAAAACGTGGATATCACTGATAAGCGATTTTTTTTACCATAATTTCCAAATTACATAAGTTTTTATTGCCGTGCCGTATAGTAAAACAAACATTATTAATTTTTACTTTCTATTGCTGGCATGAAGTGTCGCGAAAGTGTTAAGCTCCATTTTCACCACTGTGATGATTGAACAATTTCTTTAATTATGGCAGTGTTCAGACCTAAATTGCTCATTCTGGTGTGTGTGGCAATTGTATTAGGACCCCTAAACTGGCGGAAACTTAACGATCTCCTTCATCTTCTAGCGCTCGCACAAGCCAAACACAGTGCACACAATCCAGCAATTAGACTCGCAATCTATCGCTGCAATTTTTTCTCTGCTCTGAAGTGTCCCGCACTGTGGTGAAAACGCGTCTTAACAGAAAGGCTCTAGTGTTTTTTTTACTGCCTTTTCTAGTAACGTCGAGGGGTTATACTAGATTCGCAGAACGAGTAGGTGAGCTCACGGGGCTCTAAATTGACGACGTTGCTAACATGAGCCCTAGCAAGAGTAGTGCGTCACAGAATCTACCACCGCATCAGAAATGCGACCCAGTGAGAAGATCCGGTGAGAAATTCAGTGGGCCGTGTCTGTGGGTTAATTTACTCGTCGAGTCCTTCGTCGCAAGCGACTGGTTCGACGAGAACGATGACAGGTGCTTGATGTACCTAAAAGCACCGTTGGTGGATCGGGAGAATCCGAAATGACGTGGGCTCTAGTGGCTCAGTCATGCGTGTATCTGAAAGGTTAGATTATATATTCGGGGATTTTACTGCTCTATATGGTCATATATGATAGACGGAAACTACCAGTATAGGGCTGCTGTTTCGCTTTGCGACACTTATGGGTAAATTTGCCGCCAACCCCCTTGAGATATGAGATCGAAGTTTCAATTGTATAACGGCTGTGCCTCCCTTCAAACAAAAACGTATGAACGGTACGCCAAAGAAACAAATGAGATAGTACGTAGTACTTATGCGATCACCCAATAACCCCTTTTTTTTCGGGTATGGGGGCGAACCTCCTACGAGGTCCTCGCGCATAAGGGGCGCGCGGGGTATGTGAGACTGAACGATCTGCATGGTGTTGTGAGTAGACCGCGGGCCCAAGGATTTTAGGGCCCACCCACTAAACGACTCTCCTGCACTCTTACACCCAACGTCCGATCCTCTCCGGGGTCAAAACTCGGATGAGGTAGGGGGGTTACCGCGGTCAACACTACAACCAGACGACGCGGCTCACCCCAAAGACGCCCAGCCGACGGAGCCTTCGACTCTGAAACGTCGGCCGTCTCGGTACGGCAGCCCGGGCCGCCCAACCCCAATAACCCCTACCACCGGCAATTACGCGTTTTTTTGTTTGTTTTTTGTTTTATGAAATTATTTTCTAAAATCAAACAGCGTTTTCCCCGTTGGAGCTGTTTGGGAACACACGCGTTATATGCGTTAGAAACAGTCGTACCGGCATGCGGGATTTTAACCCCGGAATCGATCGATACGTGTACATCGGGCGACTAACCGGAGACCATTAAAGCGAATGGGTTATACATTTTTCTGAAAGCCAAGTGTATGTGGTTTCGGATAGCACCCTTGCTTGTTTGTTGAAGCACGTTAATAGATAGCAGCCTAAATTGCACGTAAATGAGATTCAGACCAGCTACTGGTAATTATAGTAACATTCTTGGCTTAGTGTTCAATTAAAATATAACACAATATCACAGCATTGCCTTACGTATATATAGAAAAATACTTACATATAATATGATCATAAATACAAATAAACGAGAGATTTATTATTGATATTATTGAAAATCAGCATTATTTACACAAATAAACATAGTGTTCATGATTTGGCATTTCATTCATTCGATTTATAATCTCTTAAGGAATAGATAAATTATTTAAGAAATGATTTAAATATTTATATAGTAGTGTACTATCGGAACATGTGGAAGACGGGGCGTCAGGTGTACTGGGCAATAAGCCAACTTTTCGGCAATATAGCGCTTCGCTGTGATGACTATTCCTCGCATCTCATCATTGTATTTCGGATGGATGACTAATGTATAATTATAACTATTTCCTGACATGCACTTTCCTATATTATAGAGGCAATGACACAACGCCTTATGCCAGCGAACGAGACGAAAGAAGAAGAAGTAATAATAACATGCTATTTTCATGTATTGATAAAGCTTCATAATATGATTTAAACGCTCAATCCCGCATTTTTTTTATTTATTCCTTAGATGGGTGGACGAGCTCACAGCCCACCTGGTGTTAAGTGGCTACTGGAGCCCATAGACATCTACAACGTAAATGCGCCACCCACCTTGAGATATAAGTTCTAAGGTCTCAAGTATTGTTACAACGGCTGCCCCTCCCTTTAAACCGAAACGCATTCCTACTTCACGGCCGAAATAGGCAGGGCGGTGGTACCTACCCACGCGGACTCACAAGAGGTCCTACCACTAGTAAAAAGCATGTGACATAGCCCAGCTTCGGTCCAACACGAAGCCCTGGTTTGAAGAATTTGTTACAGCGCTGCGAAAACGCCGATATCGGTGTGGTGATAAGCAATACTTCTAGTTTAATTACTTTCGTTTTTAAACTATTCAATGACGTTTTTCATATCATAAGCAAGTCTCCGTCAAGGCTTTAAGATCAGTTTCACCTAAAAACAAATTACACGAGCAGCCACGATTCAATTTTTTTAGTTTGATCGACCAAAACAAGTACAAAAATTATGTTACTCAATAACAATATCTCGGAAGCTTCAGCTTTGATCGGTCGGCTTAAACAGTTTCTATAATCAGAACTATTCTTCATTAGATACGTCTGTTTGTCGAGTCCCGAGTGTATATAAAATCTTAGATTGAAATTGAGTTTTACAGAAAATAGCGGCTAAATAAAGAATTAAGAGGAAGTAGGTACTGATGTACTGATTTACTGGTGGTAGGACCTCTTTTACTCGTACTCAACAAATGTTCACGATTGACTTCCACAGTGAAGGAATAACATCGTGTAATAAAAAACAAACCCGCAAAATTATAATTTGCGTAATCACTGGTGGTAGGACCTCTTGTGAGTTCGCTTGGGTAGGTACCACCACCTTGCCTATTTCTGCCGTGAAGCAGTAATGCGTTTCGGTTTGAAGGGCGAGACGGCCGTTGTAACTATACTTGAATGAATATAGAATGCATATCTCAAGGTGGGTGACGTATTTACGTCGTAGTAGATGTCTATGGGCTCCAGTAAC